GGTCTCGAACCCACGAACCGCGAGATCATGACCTGAGCGAAAGTCGGACTCTTAACCGACTAAGCCACCCAGGCGCCCCAATTTTGCATATTTTAATCACATTCATGATTTGTGATTTCATGTCATTATCCCAATAGTTGAATGATAAATAATTTCACTTATACGTGTTTGTATAATGAAAAATCGTAGTTCATGAATATATTAGCATGTCATAATTTGTTTTTATTTTCACAGATATATAAACTATCTTCACAAGAAGAAAGTATTGGAACATTATTGGATGGTATTATTTGTAGAATGTCAACAAAAGATGTTTTGTAAAATGACAGAAATATTAAAATTTTTCATATGAAAACACTGATTTTTCTTTCTTGATTATAAAATGTATATGTTTGGGGTGCCTGAGTGGCTCAGTCAGTTAAGTGTCTGACTTCGGCTCAGGTCCTGATCTTGCACTTTGTGGGTTTGGGCTCCACATCAGGCTCTGTGCTGACAGCTTAGAACCTGGAGCCTGCTTCTGATTTCGTCTATCCGTCTCTCTCTGCCCCTCACCTGCTTGCACTCTGTCTCTCTCTCTCTCTCTCTCTTAAAAATAAACATTAAACATGAAAACCTAAACAATAAACATGAACATTAACAAAATTTCTAATTTAAAAAATAAGATGAACCGTTCAATTACAGAGAAATTTAAAACACAGAACAGCCATAACAAAGTCCTCTCTCTTAATATTTTATTTTATTTAAAAAAAATTTATTTTTATTTTTTTTTATTTTTTAAATTAATTTTTTTAAATTTTTTACCATAACAAAAGATGTTTTTTAGTTTTTTTAAATTTTTTAAATTTTTAAAAATTTTTTTACCATAACAAAAGATTTTTTTTTTATTTAAAAAAATTTTTTTAATGTTTTATTTCTAGGAGAGAGACAGCGTGAGCAGGCAAAGGTCAGAGAGAGAGGGAGTCACAGACTGAAACAGGCTCCAGGCTCTGAGCTGGCAGTCAGCACAGAGCCCGATGCAGGGCTCGAACCCACGAACCGCGAGATCATGACCTTAGCGAAAGTCGGACGCTTAACTGACTAAACCACCCAGGCGCCCCGACAAAGTCCTCTCTCTTAATATTTTAAAAGATGACCACTGTTGCTATTATTTGTTCTTGTCTTCTAGTGTTCTATTTCTGTTCAGATTTATTCTTTTTTATGTAATTGGAGTAACTGGATTTTAACTAGGTTCTCACCTTGGTGATTTTATATTCATCAGCTCATTTCGCTGCCCTTACTTCTGGCTAATCTAGTATATTTCCCTTCCAAGCCTCCTGGTTCCAAGTGTTTTACATACAAGAATTATTCATCATAGCCTTGTGAAGTAAACACTAATATTACCACCATTTTACATACAAGGCAACTAAGAGATTATAGAAATAAGTAACTTGCTCAATGTCCTGTAGCTAGTATAAAGTCATGTTTTAGAAGTGCTTTGGGTTTTCTTTTTTCACTTTATATTTTGATCATAGCAGTCAAGACAGGCTTGGTCAGGGGTGAGCAAACTTGTCTGTGAAGGATGAGATAATAAATATTTTCAGCTTTGCAGATCATAAGGTGTCCGTTGCACCTAATCAACTCTTGCTATCATAGTGCAAAGGCATCCACAGACCATAAGTAATGAGTACTATTGTGTTTCAGTAAAACTTTGTGGACAAGAATAAGTGATGAACAGGATTTGACCTGAGGGCCTCACTTTGTGGATATCTGGATTAGGTTAGGTTTTGATTACTTCCTAAAGCTCACTGGCTTCACACGACAAAAGTTTGTGTCTTGTTCAGTCTACATAGCCGGATTATGTGAATCTGCAAACAATCAGGATATTGACTCAGGAACCCAGTTTACTTATCTCACGTTTCACTGTCCAAAGCCAGTCACATGGCCCTGCCAACCTCATAAGGGACAGAGGAGTGTGATCCTGCCCTGTGCTGGAAAGCAGGGAGGTAGAAATACTTCGTGATTTCTATCATGATCATAAATAATAAAGTACATATGCACATAGCTAACATTTCTCGTGTGTACTGTGCTTAGCATTGTATATGCACTACTCCATTTAGTCCTTACTACAACCCTAAGAGATTTTTTTTTACCAGCAAGTAAACAGAGTTAGTCTCTGAACTCCATTTCAAACCTACAGAACAACTGACAATAGTACAGTGAAAGTCCATGCACCTTTCATGTGAATTCACTATCTGTTGTTAACATTTTGCTACATCTGCTTGTCTTGCTCTCCTATCTGCCTGCCCTCAGGTGTGTGTACACACACACACACACACACACACACACACACTTTTGCTGCTGCATTTGAGAGTTGCAGACAGGTGTCTTCAGTCTATGCAGTGTTTAGCTGACATATCTCAGTGTCCTTTAATCTACAACAATCCTCTTTTTAAGAATGATGTTGACATTTTTTGAAGAGTACCTATCCTAGATATCTTTCAGACTTCCACACAATCTGTATATGTTCATGATTTAAGTCAACCTAAATATTTTGGATTTCGTGTCCTTGCCATTGCATGTCATCAGGATGCAATGTCAGTTGGCCCTATCATTGGTGATATAAAGACTGGGTTAAGGTGGTGCTCCCCCCAGACATCTACACCACAAAGACCTCTCTTGACTTGCCCGGGATTAGAAGTCCAATCTACGTGACGCCAGATCCTAACAACTGCGTCCACTGTCCCTCCCATGCCATCACACTCATTCTTTTTACTGATGTGTAACACGTCACATATGTACTTCCTCTAGTATTACACACTTACGTTGCTTTCAATGTTTCACTTTTGCAAATAAACATTTGTATATGGTTCTCTTTCTTACGCATAGCTTCTCTGAAGTGGAATTATTGGGGATGAGGAGTTGAACTCATTAAAGACTTCAGAGCAGAAAGGTGCCATTCTGTAAACCGACCCCCAGCACTGCAGCCACTTCCCTGCTCTTGGCTTTGCTGACGGCAGCCACTCTGCACTCATGTCACAATATTGAGAAAAGCGTAACCTAGTTTGGTTGGTTTTAGAATAAGCAGTTTGCATTCATCAAATTTGCCTGTCACTGATGCTTTCACAGTCCTTTGTGCCGCTATCTCCCATGTTCCCCTCCAGATCTTTTCCCTTACCCCCTCTTCCCTGTGTTCCATGTGGCTAACCTGTGTGTCAGTTAGAGGTCTCCTCTTCTTGGCATCTGCTTGGGTAAGGCCAGTGGGAGGCCAGACAGAGATTGGAGAGGGGAAGAGTGAGACCAGGGTATTTATTAACCTGACCCCTCCCTGTAAGGTCAGGTGCACTGGCTTTGTTCCTGAACCTTTCAACGGCTGGGTTAGGCTCCCGTCCCTCACTTTCCCACCTTGTTTCAGGTCTCTGGGCAATAACATACCTGGTGCCTGCACCATCTTTCATCCCCCTCTACCCACCTACACCTTCAAAACTAGTCCCGTTGAGGGGCGCCTGGGTGGCTTAGTTGGTTAAGCGTCCGACTTTCGCTTAGGTCATGATCTCGCGGTTCGTGGGTTCGAGCCCCGCGTCGGGCTCTGTGCTGACTGCCAGCCCAGAGCCTGGAGCCTGTTTCAGAGTCTGTGACTCCCTCTCTCTCTGACACTCCCCTGCTCACGCTGTCTCTCTCTCTCCTAGAAGTAAATAAAACAAAACAAAACAAAACAAAAAAACTAGTCCCTTTGACTGATGGGTGTAGGGAGGGGTGGGGGAAGATGGGCATGGAGGAGGGCACTTGTTGGGATGAGCACTGGGTGTTACATGGAAACCAGCTTGACAATAAACTATTAAAAAAAAAACAACTAGTCCCTTTGATCATCTGCATAAAAGTTTCTGAAGTTACCCTAATTTGAGTATTGGGGCCTGAGTGCCTCTCACTTTCTTAGAGAATTAGTTGAAAGGTCACAGAACATTTCTGTAGAGCTGGAATCATTGACCTAGGATTTCTGAGCATCTTATACCAAGGATGTCCCATCCACCTACTTCTTTACCCTTGAAATGATTTGCCAGCATTTTCTTCTACTCATCTCCTTTAAGTGATGAGTTCTAAGTAAAAGTTCAGGGCACTGGCCTGACGCTAGGTTACTGGGAGCCCCGATGAGAGGTTAGAGGAGATTCTTCCTGCAAACTTAATTAAATGAAATTGAAGCCATTTGCAACTACGTGGATGGTACTAGAGGATATTATGCTAAGCGAAATTAGAGAAAGACAAGTATCATGAGGACTTTAAGACACAAAACAGATGACATAAGGGAAGGGAAGCAAAAATAATATAAAAACAGGGAGAGGGACAAAACAGAAAAGACTCTTAAATATGGAGAACAGACAGAGAAAGGGTTGCTGGAGGGGTGAGGGAGGGAGGATGTACTAAATGGGTAAGGGGCATTAAGGAATCTACTCCCGAAATCATTGTTGCGATCTGCTAACTTGGTTGTAAATTTAAAAAATAAATTAAAAAAATAAAAATAAAATAAATCATTAAAAAATAAAATAAAAAGGAATGGAATTGATTTTCTCTTCTCCCTGAGACTTCCACAATGTAATGCCACTCATTTACCATCATCCATCTCACTGGCCCACTTCTGGGTTGTGCCGGTGCTATAGGGAATGTTTCTCATAGATGTAAGTGTGGGGTTTTAATGACATGTTCCTCTCCAACCCACACCTGTTGGAATAACAGTGATCCTGTGAGGTCTTGTGAAGGACATGGCTCAGCTTCTCTCGCCTTGGTTTCCCATTTGTAAAATGGGGACAATAATCTCAACCTTAGTTCTTGGTTGTCATGAGTATCAAATAGCAGAGCATAGGAAAATTGCTTCCTCACAGTGCCAGGCATCTGATTTCTCCGTGAATAACAGCGATCTCTTCCCTTTATGTACCAGGCAGTACTGCTGAGGCCAAGTAGTAAAATAAAATAGGGCTCACTACTGGTGAAAAGTAAAACAGTGCAGCCACTGTGGACAACAGTTGGGCGGTTCCTCAAAATAAATGTTAAACATAAAACTGCCATATGACCCAGAAATTCCACTCCTACGTATACACCCCATAGAACTGAAAACAGGTGCTCAGACAAAAACTTGTATCCAAGCGTTCCTACCAGCACTATTCACCACAGCGAAAAGGTGGAAACAACCCACGTGTCCATCAGTGGATGAATAGAAAAACAAATGTGGTCGATCCCTACCATGGAATATTATTCAGCCATAAAAAAGCAGTGGCATACTGGGACATGCCACACCAAGGGTGAACCTTGGAAACATAAAGTAAAAGAAGCTGAACGCAGAAGTTCACATATCACATGATTCCACTTAAGTGAACCATCCAGAAAGCAGGTTAGTTGTTGCCAGGGTCTGGAGAGAGGAGGAGGAGAGAGTGACTGCACAGAGGCAAGGGAATTCCTTTTGGGGGTGTGAAAATGCTGTGAAAGCAGATAGAAGTGGTGGCCACACCACACAGTGGTGCACGAAATGCCATCGAACTGTACCCGATAACATCAGCTAACTAAGACATGTAATAATGGAATAAGCACATGTGCCTTACCTTTAGGAGTTCATGATCCTAGCTAAGTACCTCTATTCTCTCAGATCCGGCTGAAGCCGAGGCAGGTAGATTCCCAAGCCTCGGTTTCATCATCCAAAAGGAAGCGCCTGGAGCCTCAGTCCATACCTGGCTTCATCTTATACATAGAGGATGGGCCAAAAGCTCTCCATCCAGAGACAGCCGTTGCCAGCGTCGGGTATGATCCCGCAGACTTTCCTCTCTGCATGCTTGTGTCCGTACATGGCTGGCAGGTTACATTTTCCCCAAAATGAGTTGAAACCTACTGTTTATGAGCCTTTATTTCTTGGAGCTATATTTTGACTTTTTTTCCATGCCAATAAATCCCTATCATCACTGTTCATAGCTGTAGGGTGAAAAGCCTGAATGTAAACCAAGGCCACTGGGTTTGGAGGAGGCCACAGAAGACCAGAGAGAATGCAGAGAAAGAGAGCTTGGGGGCAGAAGACAGACCTTTGGCCCTTCAGCTTGACTATGATTTTTTGACTGGTTAATAGGAGACTCACCTGTACTTTGGAGCCCTCTGTCCCCCCTCCTTTTGATTCTAATTTCAAATTTTATTTAACATTGAACTGTTTAAATATTAAAATGTAAGAGACAAATGTAGCAAATCCCCATGGGTCACCAATCAGATTTCATGTTAAACGCTATCCTTGTGGCCTTGTGGCCTCATTCCAGGTGCCAAAGACCTGGAACGTCAGGAGCCTCCATTCACTGGGCCTGGATCCCAGCTGCCCACCTCCGGTTCCTGATCAGAAGGCCTCAGGATGCTATCGCCAGGCAGTCATTATCTTTCTTTCCAAGTCTCTCTCTCTCTAGAATCCTCTAGACGCTCTTACAAAAAAAAAAATGTGGCTATCATCTCTGACCCCTTCCTCATCCTCACACCCATCTGGAAAATTACAAATTCCTGCCATTTCTACCCACAAATGCACCTACAGGTGGGCTGGTGCTCACCATCGCCTCACTCTGGTCCAAGTCACCACTTACTCTTGTAGAGCCTCTGCTAGCCCACGTGGCTTCCTGATGAACATAGGACAAGGCACCACTTTCATACAGATGCAGCCCGTTTGATGCACAGTTCGGTGGGAGCCATGCCTTTGAGCAATAAAAAAGGTGCCTTCTCCTTTGGCCAGACTCATCTCCGTGCCACGGCTGACGGCCTGGTGAGTGGCACAGCACTCTATTTTTGTTCCCCCTGGCCCTCCTTGGTCAGTCGCTCTTGAATAGTGAGCAACCTGCCTATCTGTACCCGTAGGCTCTTTTTTCAGCTGCACTGGACACTAGCCCGTGGGGGCGGGTAATACGTGCTTCCACTACTGTCTTTTCCCATTCACCGTCCACATGTAGCCACAGCAACACTTGCACACCCTGCCTAGGTTACTCCCCAGCTACAAGCAGACCCATGGCTTTCCATCGCTCTTGGAATAGAGTACAAACTCCGTAACTGGAATGCAGGCCCAGCACGCACGGGCCCTTACCACCCTCGCCCCTCCTTCCCTCCCTCCGTGGCCATGTTGGCCACCTTTCCCGGAAACCTTGCTTTTGTCCTGCCTCAAGTTCTTCACGTCTCTGTTCCCTCAGCCCCAAACGTTCTCCTTCACTCAGCCTTGCTCAGGCCTACCTCTCATTCCGGTCTGGGTCTCGACTTAAGGGTCCTTCCTCTGGGGCCCCTATAAATGCCCTCGCGCAGCCCGCACCCTTCCGCCCCGTGCGTCCCGGGGGCGAGACGTGGCGCGCGCCGTGCAATCCCCGGAATCTCGCGAGGAGCTTCGAGGACGGGCAACCGGGGTCTCCCGGGCGCTGTGCTATAGCCCAGTCGCCCCTCGGCGCGAGCTCCGGGTGAGCGTTGGATGACACGACAGACAAGTGCCTGAGGAGATGGATCTGTGGTCACAGCTTCAGGAAGCCGACAGAATATAGAGCGAGAGGCTTATCTGGGCCGCAGAGTGAGGGCACGTTGGAAGAGGAGCAAACTCAATCCGGGGAGGGAAGCGGCCCCCTCGGCAGCACTTCCGTTCCACAGAGAAGGGATTTTCTGTTTTGTTTTCCTGCTTTAGTTTACCTCAGTGCCAAATACGTAACAGCTGTTATGGCACAGGCTCTAACGAGCAGAACACACACCAGCTGCACGTGGTACTGGTGCCCATCGCTGTGTGTCGGTGTCGCTCACAGCCGAAAAGGACGCCAGGCACATAGTAGTTGCATCATACATAATAGCACTGGGAATGAATGAACGAACGAACAAATGAAGGAACGGACAAACGCAGGTGGAGCTTAGTGAGATGAGTGTAGGGAACTACAGATGGTCCGTTTTCCTCAGACCAGGTAACGCCTAGGCAGGGAGAGAGCACCTTGTGTGCTCAGCGTGGACTCTAGCCCATGATGCCCGCACACAGTGAGGCCTGCGATCCCCAGGCTCCTAGGAGCTGTGCGGAGGGGCCCAGAGTGGACACCAGAGCGTTATCAAGGTGCCCGCTGGGAGACGCTCTGGCCCTTCACCACCATGCGAGGAAGAGCGTAGGCCTTCTGCAAGGGCCAGGCCCCTGAGCCGTTCCAGGCTCTGCTTCCCCCCTCCCAGCTGAGCCTCTGGTGATCACAGGAGTGGTGGAGAATGGGCTTCTGCTTTGTCAGAGCCCAGCCTCTCGGGTGCAAGAGCCAGCCAATGAGGTGGCCATCCAGGAAGGGGCTGGTCCCCGGTGGTGGAGCAGGCCCTGGGAAGTCTCTCCTGGGTGCCAGGCAGAGGCTGAGGGCAGAGGCCACCCTGAGGCTGCTCTGGACGGTCAAGGCTGTTGTGGCGGCAGGTGAGAGGACGCGGGTAGAAGGACAGTGTTTTGAGAGAGTTCTGGAGCCCCAGACTCTCCTCTGGATGTCAAGGCTGCCCTTTTTTTGGTGTTTGATTCTTATACGACCTCAGCAGCCTAAAAATTTGCAGTCAAGGGGGAAGGAGCCTTTGTTGAAACTTGGGAGCACAGGATTCCTGCAGTGTATGGTCCCTGGATAGGGGCCAAAGGTCTGGGGACACATGGTCTGCCTACTGCATGGTGCTGCCCCAAAGTGCCAGCAAGCTAAGTGAGCCAGTAAAAGGGGAAAGAGGGTGGAGAGAAGGGTGTTTTGTGTATCAGGGCTTTGTATGCTACTTTGTTAAATCTTCAAAACAATCCCAGAAGGCAGGTCCTTTATTTGACTCTGTTCTACAGATGAAAAGATGGGTTCAGAGAAGTTAGGTAACACTAAGGTCACACAGCTAGAAGGGGAGGGAGCCAGGATCATATGCAAATTGTCCTGACCCTATACTTTTCTCCCAGTGGCTGTAGCCTACATCCTCTTTGGCAAAAGCAGAAAGCAATGCCCTCGAGCAGGGTCTCCCCCACTCCTGGGAGGTGGCAGAGATGGGCACTCACCTGACTTCCTCTCTCTTCCCCAGGGTGGCCCGGAAGGTGTGCAGGGACACCTAGCTCTCACTCACTCTCTCTCTCATGGACTTCAGGCTCGGCAGTCTTCCATGGCTCCTTATCACATCCGCAAATACCGGGAGAACGACCGCACACAGGTCCTGGGCTTGTTCTCCCAGGGAATGAATGAGCACATCCTCACCACCTTCCACCACATCCTGAAGCTGCCCCGAACCCTGGTGCTCTTGCTTGGGCTGCCCCTTGCCATCTTCCTGCTCTCTGGCTCCTGGCTCATGGCCCTTGTAGCCAGCCTCACCCTCCTTGCTGCCCTGAGATTCCTCTCCAGCTGCCCCTGGAACCAGTTTATAGACATGTCTTTGCGCACAGACATGTCTGACATCACCAAGTTCTACCTGGGTGAGCCTGGCTCCTGCTTCTGGGTGGTTGAGGCTAAGGGGCAGGTGGTGGGCATGGTGGGTGCTCTGTCCACCACCCTGCGGAAAGAGAAGTTGGAGCTGCTTCATCTGTGTGTGGCCTCAGAGCACCGAAACCAGGGGATAGCAAAAGCCCTGGTCAGGACTGTCCTTCAGTTCGCACGGGACCAGGGGTACAGCCAAGTCATCCTCACCACCAGCATGCTGCAGCGCTCGGCCCTGGCCCTCTACCAGCACATGGGCTTCCAGAAAAGGCACCAATTCTTCCCTTCCATGATCTGGAGGCTAATCGCTGTTCCTGTAATTAGCTTTGTCTACTGGCTCCCCTCTGATCGGGCTTCTGAGACACAGTGTCCAGGCCCATGACCTGGTTCCTTGTGGCTTAGTCACAAGACGGCTGGCTCTGCTGAAGTAGCAACCAAACCGCTGTGACAGCACAGCGAAAGCTTTCTGCTCAGTCCCGTGGGAACCCAGCGGGGTTGGCGGTGGGCGGTTCTGGTCAGTCTGTTGGGTTGCCACTTTTTCATTTACTTGGTGCCACAAGAAATGCATTAAAACAAATTGATGAAATAAACAAATGCCAATGAACATGTCTTTAGTTCATGCATCCGTGGTCAGCAGTTTAGGTTGGACTTGGCTGGCAGCTCTGTTGGTCTCACATGGCCTAATTCACATGTCATGGGGTTGGCCAGAGTGAAAGGGCCACTGGGCCCTCTCATTTTCCAACAGGCGAGTTCAGCCATGGTTTTAAGGTAAGTGCAGAGGAGCAAAAAGTAAGGCAAATGCTTTTGCAAGCTTCTTGGGGGTCACATCTATGACACCCCAGACCTGGGGAGAGAAATGGACCGTGTGTCTTTAGTGAGTGGAGCTGCAGGCACACAGCAAAGGGCCGAGAAAGAACAATTCTGTGAGGAGGACTGGGGCCCACGGTGCCATCAGCCTGCTTTGGCCCCCACCCACCGCCTCCACTGAAAGGGAAGAAGGCAGCCCGGGACAGAGAGTGGGATTTTAACACGGGCTAGACCTGGAGGTGGTGCAGCCACCAGCCCACTGGCCAGGCCCGTCACATGGCCCAAATAGGCCTGAAGGGAGGCTGGGAATGGTGTCTGGGGAAGAGGAAACACGATTGCTGTTTCCCAGACCTACCACACCTGGGACCCTGCCTCCTATCCCCAAGTGCTCCAAGACTCCAGATCTTCACAGAAGCCTCAGGGATGACCCTTGTGTCCCCCAGCCCATGCTACAGTGGCGAAGTAGGGCTTAGGCCCCATGCTGGTGTATGTAGCCCTGTGCACCTTGCCCAGCTAGCTCATCACTGGCACCGACCCAGAAGCTGAGTCTGAGGAGCCAGTGAGTCCTCTGATGATGCAGGAAGTCCAGACACCCTTTCAATCTGGGTCTTGTGATACAGCAGTATTTGGAGGCCTCTCCCATTCTGGCAGGGTGTCTGTTCATAGCTTATCTCCTGTGAAGGGTCAGTCAGGCCACAAATCAGGCCTGAATCTGCCAGCTGGCATTGTTACAGGAACATTCCACCTAACTGGGGACCCTCCATCAAATGAATGGAGCGGCTGCAAACACTCATGTTTTATTGCCCAAGACCGGGGGGTCTCAACTGTGTTGCCCTCCATTCGGTCTCTTTCCTCCCTGGCGTTGGGTCACCCTCAGTCCCTTCTGCCAGGCATTCTACCTCCTCCAGGTCCGCTGCCTTTGTACCTTCCCTGTGTGCTTCTCAGAAGACTGGACCACACGGGTCTCCTATTACACTGTGCCCCCCGCCCCATGTTCTAAATCAGGTTTGTTTCCTCCCAGTTGTGTTCCAGCTTCTAGTTAATGGCAGGGCCTGGGCCCAGCCTCTCTGAGAGGTAGGAAGAGGACACCAGCCCTCACCAGCTGTCCTAGGCTCAGCCAAGTAGCCCCTCAGGAGGAGTTCCCAAGTGGGCACCAGCTGGTACTGGAGATGGGGGAGGTCCACAGTAATCCCAATGCCTTGAAAGTTTTCTTACGTGACAATTAAATGGTTTTGCTCCTCTAAGGTAGACATGGTCCATGTCCTCCAGGGGCTTACAGGCCAGGGGATGGATGCTGAAAGACCAAGGAGGGAGCAAGTGCACGTATGTCGTCCATAAGTGTGGGGGGGTGGTGGAAGTACTGGACAAAGAACATCAAAAGGACACCCACCCTGCAGACTGGAGGAGGGTCTCCCAGAAGGAACAGGGCTTGTGCTCCTGGAATCAGGAATGGAGCTTGCCCATCACTTGCTCCAATTCCCTGCAACCACTGTCCCAACCACACTGAGCTTCTTCCAGTTCTTTCAACAAACCAAAGCTGTCTTTCGACTTAAAGCCTCCATGCATGCTTCCCTCTGCCTTCCACCTCTCCTACCTATCCTTTTTGTTTGAAAAGTGCTTTGTCGAAAAGTGCTCCTCCACTTTTCAGCCAAGTGGCAGGGGTAATTGGGTTGCAGAGATAACTTCTTAGCAGGTAGGAAGCAGTTCATCCTACTCTTATGCTGGCAGTTATTACTGTTTAGTACCTGCTACTCAAAGGGTGGTTCCCCGATCAGCAGTAGGACATTGCCTGGAAGCCTGTTAAAACAAAGTGCGAATACAAAGCTTATTACACACACCAGATTGGTATTAGCACATCAGCATTAGTTCTAGTCAGTTTTCTTCTAAATGCAGTATGGCGGCTACCCTCCTATGAGCCTCTGGCTTCACCTCAGGCAGAGGAAGTCAAGAGACCCCTCTGCTCCCTATTGCCTGTTTCACAGAGGGTGCTCAAACAGCCAGAGACAGAAGCCAGGCCCTCCCTGGATGATACTCTTTTGCTCATCTTCCCCAGACGGGATCCACACTCACTGTCAGTGGAGTTTTAAGCAGTGCTTTTCTGCAGAGTTCAGCTAAAGGGCCCAAAGCCATACAAGTGAACGTGTCTGTGTTTGCTAATTACAAGGAGGGTATTTAGGTCAAGATAGTGGGCTAAGGGTAATGGGAAGTTAAACTGGAGCTTGAGACCAGGCACCAAGTATGACAGATAAGAAATAAGATCTGAGACCCAAATGTGGATATTCCAAAGGGGTTACCAAGATAGTTTAGGCGGTTTGCAGGGGTGGGGGAAAGGAAATGGAGAGTGAGGGCTTAATGGATGCACACTGACTTTTGGGGCAATGAAAATGTTTTGAGTCTCGATATAGTTGGTGGTTGGGCAACGCTGTGGATGTACTAAATGTCACCAAAGTGTATACTTTAAAATGTTTAAGTTTATGTTATATGAAATTCACTTCTACAAAGTTTTAGAGATTAAAAAAAAAAAAGAAAAGAAAAGAGGGAGAGTTTAGATGGCTGTAAAGCCCAAAGGGAAGATACAAAAAAAAAAAGAATGGAGAGAGCAGAGACGCTGAGAGGTCATTATGGGAGTTATGGCTCGCTAGCAGTGAGTCTGCCCCCAACCAAGCAAAGGGTGGGCAAGGAGCCACCTGCAACCCCAAGCCCAGTGCTGGAGAAGCCTTGGGAACACCTATGTGCCCTTCTGCTGGAGCAAGAGCTGATGGCTGACACTTTCCTGGGGAATCTAAAAGTCACAGCCAGTGCCTATGGGCCTGGAACTCTGGCAGATGTATGATGCTGCTGGCTTTGTTGGCGAGACAGAGAAGAAGAAGGGGGAGGAGGGCAAGGAGGAGAGGGAGAAGAAGAAGGGGAAACAGGAAGAGGAGGGGGAGGTGGAGGAGGAGGAGGAGGAGGAGGGGAAAGTGCTTTTCCTGAACTGGGTCCATGGGAACACAGACAGAGTCGAGGCCATGGCTTACAGGGAATGGCAAAGTGCAGATATGTGACTTGTGTAGGCGCCCCTTTGGGCAAGTGTGGGGGACTACAGGTTTCCAGAAAGTAGGAAGGAGGGAGGGTGTGGTCCAAGATAGTTTTACAGCTTAGTGACTTGGACCCAAGAGTCAAAAACAAAACAAAACAAACAAAACAAAACAAAAAAACCCAAAAACCCTAGAATGCTGCCTCCAAACTTCCCTTCACCTTTTTTCAGCAAAGTAATTTGTTCAATTTGAAGGAAGAGGTTTTATTCTGAACTTGACAAAATTTTAAGCACATCAAGGTTTCCTTTTATGTAACAGTGGAGCTACTGACACAAGTTTGGTCAAACTAGAGTACATTTGTTTTCTGATTTTGCCTTTTTTTTTTTTTGTATTCCTGCACACACTTGGCCTCTACCTGGCATGCACATGTGTGCCTGTTGAGTACATGCGGGAAGGTCGGCCAACCCGTGTTCCCTCCTGCTGCTCCCGCCTGCCTTCTTCCTCCTCCTCTTCTTGTATTTGTAATATCGTGACAGAATATATATTACTTAAAAGTTACCATTTTAACAATTTTTTTTTTACAAATAGTTTATTGTCAAATTAGTTTCCACATAACACTCAGTGCTCATCCCCACAAGTGCCATTTTAACAATTTTTAAATGTGTAGTTCAGTAGCATTAACTATATTCAAAATGTTGTGCAACTATCATCACTATTTCCAGAATTTTTTTTCTTAGTTTATTGTCAAGTTGGTTTCCATATAACACCCAGTGCTCATCCCCACAAGTGCCCTCCTCCATGCTCATCAACCCCCTACCCCTCTTCCCCAAACCCCATCAGCTCTCTGTTCTCTGCATTCAAAGTCTCTCATGGCTTGCCTCCCTCCCTCTCCCCAACTATTTTTTCCTTCTCTTCACCCATGGTTCTCTGTTAAGTTCCTCCTAACCCACCAATACGTGAAAACATATGGTATCTGTCCTTCTCTGCCTGACTTATTTCGCTCAGCATAACACCCTCAAGATCCATCCATGTTGCTACACATGGCCAGATTTCATTCTTCCTCATTGCCATGCAGTATTCCATTGTATAGATAAACCACATCTCCTTGATCCATTCATCAGTTGATGGACACTGAGGCTCTTTCCATGATTTGGCTATTGTTGAGAGTGCTGCTATGAACATTGGGGTACATGTGCCCCTGTGCACCAGCAATCCTGGATCCCTTGGGTAAATTCCTAGCAGTGCTATTGCTGGGTCATAGGGGAGTTCTAGTGTTAATTTTTTGAGGAACCTCCACACTGTTTTCCAGAGGGGCTGCACCAGTTTACATTCCCACCAACAGTGCAGGAAGGTGCCCATTTCTCCACATCCTTGCCAGCATCTAGAGTCTCCTGATTTGTTCATTTTAGCCACTCTGACCGGTGTGAGGTAATAGCTCAGTGTGGTTTTGATCTGTATTTCCTTGATGATAAGGGACACTGAGCATAGTTTCATGTGTCTGTTGGCCATCTGGATGTCCTCTTTGGAGAAGTGTCTGTTCATGTCTTCTGTCCATTCCTTCACTGGATTATTTGTTTTTCGGGTGTGGAGTTTGGTGAGTTCCTTATAGATTTTGGATACTAGCCCTTTATTTGATATGTCATTTGCAACTATCTTTTCCCATTCCTTCGACTGCCTATTAGTTTTATGGATTGTTTCCTTTGCCGTGCAGAAGCTTTTGATCTTGATGAGGTCCCAAAAGTTCATTTTTGCTCGATTCCCTTGCCTTTGGGGATGTGTCAA